TCTGCCGGGTCCCATGACTGATAGTTATCCCTTTGATTGGGGCTCGATTCAAGACCATGCGCCGTGCTGTTCGTCGACCAAGTTTGTGCATCTGCAGACGTGGACGCGCGGCTGGGACAACGACGACATCCAGAACGAATTCTGCGACGCCGCGCTCAGCGTGAGCAAGTCGACAACCAAGACCATTGATGATCTCATCCTCGTCACATACTCGATGGGCAACCTCATCACCGGCAGCGCCGTCGCCAAGGGCAAGTGCAACCTCTCCAACAAGGTCACGTGGGTATCGATCGCGGGCCCGATGCAAGGCAGCTTGTCGGGCAACCTGCTCGAACAAAAGTGCAAACAGGGTGGCGTGAACCTCCCGCTCCAGGGCATTCTCCAGGTCACAACGCTGTGCCCGATCACGGACGCCTTCCTCAAGCTGAAGCACGAGAAGACCGTGTCGACGGCGATCCAAACCAATTTTCTCGCGGCGCAGGCTGTCCGCAAGCAGTACGCCACTAAGGTCATGTGCGGTAGCGACCCGTTTGGACTCTCCACGTTGTACGGTCCAGTGGCGAGTCTTGTTAGCTCCATGACAAACCACGGCGACATGAACGACGGTGTGGTGGCGTTTGAGAGCTGTCGTGTCGGTTTCGAAGCCAGCTCGTTCTCGACCAACTACGCCGACGGTGGCAACTACCTCGCGAGCGTCAATCACCTCGACATCTCTTTCCGCAACGGCGATGGGTTGTGGGGCGCGGACCGCAAGCCGCAAAAGTGGTTTGAATGTGCCTTGTAAATCTATAACTGGTATCGCGTGCTGTAACTATAAGGATGCAATAATTTGCTCGTCATTGACCGAGTGTGCTGAGATACATGGAAGTGGACACAAAACGATCAACTCGCTTCGGACTCGGGAGCCGAAATCAACATAAGGTTGCCAGTGAGTCCCACGATATATTGACAATATAAGAGAGGTCGTAGGGAATGCAGAGGTTGCTCCTGGCGAGGTAAAGACATCACACAGCGTTGCCGCGCAAATAGCGTGCGGGCAGGTGGAAAGCACGAGTGTACGATCTGAAAGTGAGGCAAGAGGGTTTCCCAGTGTCATTTATTTGACTGACACTACCAATTTGGAAATTGCTTGAGCTCGTTGGCTCTGCGCCTGGATCTTGGATCGTGTGCGATCTTGGAACCGGTCTTTTATCGCTCGGCCTTGCGCGGAAAACCTCTTCCATTTCTTGTAAACGGCCCGATTCGATCTGCCCTAGTGTACCGGTGCAGTCTCATACAATACCACTACGATACGAACGACAAGTCTTTGCCAGAGCTAATCACGATGCAGCGATGGTGGCGTTGGATACGCGAAGCTCATCAACATTGTATCACCACCCTCCAAAGACAACAAGAGGCATTGATATTCAAGAAAAACGATTCTTAGATGATGGCACTGGTAGGTATTTACAAGACACACTCGAACCACTTTTGCGGCTTGCGGTCCGCGCCCCACCACCCATCGCCGTTGCGGAACGAGCTGTCGAAATGATTGACGCTCGCGAGGTAGTTGCCACCGTTGGCATAGTTGTTTGAGAACGAGCTGGCTTCGAAACCGATACGACAGCTCTCAAACGCCACCACACCGTCGTTCATGTCGCCGTGCTTTGTCAGCGCGCTCACGAGCTTCATCACAGGGCCGAAGATAGTCGTGAGACCAAACGAATCGCTGCCACACATGAGCACCGACGCGTACTGCTTGCGGACAGCCTGCGCCGCGAGAAACTTGGCCTGGATCGCCGGCGACACGGTTTTCTCGTGCTTCAGCTTGAGAAAGGCGTCCGTGATCGGGCAGAGTGTCGCGATCTCCAAGAGACCCTTGATCGGGAGGTTCACGCCACCCTGTTTGCACTTTTGTTCGAGCAGGTTGCCCGACAAGCTGCCTTGCATTGGACCCGCGATCGACACCCACGTGACCTTGTTGGAGAGGTTGCACTTGCCCTTGGCGACAGCGCTGCCGGTGATGAGGTTGCCCATCGAGTATGTGACGAGGATGAGATCATCAATGGTCTTGGTTGTCGACTTGCTCACGCTGAGCGCGGCGTCGCAGAATTCGTCTTGAAGCTCATCATTGTCCCAGCCGCGATGCCACATTTCAAAGTGCACAAACTTGGTCGACGAGCAGCATGGCGCGTGCTTGTGAATAAGGCCCCAATCAAACAAGTACGTGTTCGTCATTGGAGCCGAGAAAGGATGACCGACACCATGAACAAACAGGCACGGCTTCATCTTCTCGAGCGAGCACCCGCACGACGACGACCCGAGACCGAGCACCCGCGGCACACCCGTCGCCGCCTTCAAGATCGACGTCGACGTCTGCAACAACGTCTGACCCGACGCCGCGGCCACCGACGGCACCAGCACCGGACAGTCCAGCGCCGCGCCATCCACGATCGGCACATCAAAGCTCGGCAGCTGCGACGCGTCGCTCAAGTACTCGATGTCCATGTCGAGGTCCGTCCCCGACGCGCGCGTCAGCTGGTGCGTCGGTGAGCTGCAGAACGCAAAGTCTTCGCCGGCAAACGTCAAGTGCAAGAGCTTGCCGTCCGTGCAGTTGGTGGCCGTCGAGCCGTTGACACTGTCGACGATCGTGGCGCTCTCGAGACTCGACTGCATGAGCTCGACGGGCGGCACCCGCGACTGGTCCAGGCACGACGCCGACACTTGGAGGTCGTTCTTGGACACGCGGTGGTACGCGCGCTGGTTGAGCAGCATGTACGTGTCAGTGACCTCGTCGCCCGTCGTCGACAAGAGCGCGTCAAACTGGAACGACCCCAACCCCGACGACCGCGGCACGATGTACACCTGGACCGAGGTCTGGCCGTTGATGGCCATGCTGCTGCGCTTGGCGTGGATGGTGAGGCGCAGACCGGGCGTCGACTGGATCATGCTCACGATGGACGACGATGGCGCGCGGACCTTGGTGTCGTAGATGTAGTAGGCGCCGACAGACGCACAGACGATGCCGCAGAATACGATGGCGCCGATGATGAGGCGGAGGCGCGACGACTTGCGGGACACTTGGATGTGGTTGTCGTCATCGACGTCGTTGATCGAGGCAAAGGCGACCGTCGGGTCGTTTGTCGGCGTCGGGACAGCGGCAGGCGTCGGGAGTGCGGCAGGCGTCGACATGACCATCGTGTGCTTGTGTGCGACGCAGACAATTGAAAGATGAAACTTGGTGGCGGTCACGCATTTGGGTCGCGGGATCTTGAAGCGCGGGAAAACAGGTGGTCGAGACTGTCTACATGACGCGGGTGACAAGATACGTGCAGTCGCGCTGCAGTATCCTTCGGACCCAGATCGTGGGGTTGACGAAACGGACCTGAAACGGCCGAGCCGCCACGTTAGCGATACACAATCCTGGCAAAAGATGCTAGTCAAACCTATCGCAAAAGAGCCACGACTTCTCTTGCTTGAGGGTCAGCACTGCCAGTGCCTGTATACACAAGGCCGCGCAGTGGGCACATAGGGATTGAAGCGGGCACGGACGGGCTTCAATTGACGGTACGATGGAAACACACCGATCGGACAGGCGGCTGCATCAACAGCATTGGTTGCTGCCGTTGCGCCTGTACGTTCGCGCATCCATCGCCACCGTGGCGATGGTCGTTGACGAAACCGTGGGTCCGACCCACGAGCGTCCTTTCGCGCTTTGTACAATGTCCTTTTTACTGCTGAGTGGATGTATTGGGCGTTACCTGGATCCTGGTTCCACGCAGCGTACAGCGACGGTCAAGGGGTGCTCTTCTCTCAACAGATATTTCAACCAGCGTCATAGAGGTACGCTCCGATTCGCAGCGCCTTCAATCCGACGACTCAAAACGCCCCGATCGCGCACCGATGACGACCTCGATGCTCATATGATGGCAGTGGTATGACCACCCACCACGACGGTCGTACTGTCGTGAAGGGTGGTACATGGCGTGGTAGAGTTGTACGAATCTCATCACTCTGGTTGCCGCACAAGATTGTACCGGTACCGTCGTGAACGGTCGTCCTCTCGCAAAGCCCTTTGTCTTGAGAAACTTGTCGTCCGATGGATCGACACACTGGCATACTGACAGATTCCATTCGTTGGTGCACGCCCGTATCTGTGGGCGCGAGAATTTATGTGCAAGCATGGATGGCTGACGTCAAGGTGACACGGTGTTGCGTTTGATGCCGACAAGAACCACGATAAACGACCGCAGCAACGCGAGGACTGCGTATTTCCGGCACTTACATTGGCACCCAACGCGACCGTGACAACGGTGCACTCGACGTCGGGTCGTTGTAGCGATGGCATTCCGTGTTGCGATCCATGACTGAGCTTTCGGGATGATTTTTATCCATCTTTAATGTCGATGGTCGTGCCCCTTGCGCAATTTGGGGCAGTGAAAGCACTCTTGGCGTGCACTGCTTGACGTGTGCACTCAATCGCGTGCGCATCATCAGTCTTGAAGCCTGCACCGGCGTTGTTACGGTCGCGCTGGGTGCTGTTGCCGCCCGTCCGGCTGAACCATGCTGTATGTTCGGTTTCGAGGATGTATAGAAAACCTGACTGCGCGTCCTTGGGTATCCCACGACCCTGGTTGACGTATCTTCGTGCCCCGCGTTTATACTCTGACGCAGCGACAGGCTTCGCGCTCTCGTGCACTATCAAAAAGGTTCCGACGGCTACGTGGCATTTCGCATCGGGGTCGGGTGCTGCAAGGACCGATGGGATTCATGGATATGCATGAGGCTCCTTCAACGGCCATTGCGTGTCGACGATGGACAAAGTTTGTCCAAGGCAACCGAGGCAAACGCCGTCATAAATATGTCCATGCACGGGTTGGAGGCATGCATGGTGTCCTTGTCCTGCGGCACCGTACTCCATTTTGACGCAATTGAGGTATTCATCTGTTCGAGTGCACTAACTACAGTACCAAACCAATCCAATTATCCATGCATCAAAATTGTTTCAAAGTATATGGCTCCTACACGATTGACTGCAACGGCTTGGCGGCCTCGGGTCTTCGTGTCACAAAAAGTTGCCCGCGCACGAGCCGCGGCACCACCAATAACGCCGAGATGACAGCCGCAATCGGGTAGCTCAAGAGGCGCGCGACGTTGAGTAGCACCAGCCGCTTCCACTGCCACGTGCCGACAATGTCCCGGTACGGCGCCCGCTCCACGCCAAACGGACCAAAGAGACATTTGCCGATGCTGCGCGACGTAGATGCCTCGAGCACCAAGAAGATGCCGCGTGCGACGCGCTCGCCAGCCCACGACGGCGCCGTGTTGAGGTGGGTTGCATATGCGAGTAGTGCGCGGACGTCGGGCAGGCGGCGGGTCTCGTAGAGCGCGAACGGTGCCGACGGGCTGGCCTCGACGCAGGCACCGAGCACGAGCGTATCTTCGAGGCCGCTGTTGATGCCCTCGCCCGTCGGAGGCAAGACCGAGTGCGCAGCGTCGCCGAGTAAAACGACCCACTCGTTGCGCTGGAGATTCTCGCACGCGACGACCGCGCCACGGTATGTGCGCCGCTCAAAGTACTTGGTGAATTCGTCCTCGGGCACCAGCGGAAGAAACGCCGGCGCAAACGACTGGACCCACGCTTTGAGACGCGCAATGTTCTCGGGCGACGCGTCCTGGGAGAGCACGAGCTGCGACGGACTCGTGGCAGCGTCCGTGTCGCGCACACACGTCACGAGGCTCCACTGCTGTTGCCCGCTGTTGTCGATCGTCGCCGTGTAGCCGCCGCTAAAGATGTAGTGGACGGCAGGATCAAGCGCGTCTGTCATTTTGCCCACCGCGCCAAAGAGAACGCGGTACTCGTTCGCCCACGGCGTGATCGTGACCCCAAACGACGGGTCGGCCGCGACCAGCGCCGCGCGCACTTTGGAGTTGACGCCGTCAGCTGCCACAATACGCGCCGACGAGGCGTCAATCGTGACGATGCCAATGTCACGCACCTCAAACTCGAGGCGCTTGGTACCCACGTCCATGTGGCGCAGCTTGTGGTTCATGTGCACCGTGATCCGCTCGTGCGCCAGCGCGGCGTTCATCAGATGCAAGTTGACGTTGCCGCGCGACGTGCCGTACACGACGCCCGAGAGCTGCTTGGCGACGCAACGCGCGCCAGCGTAGATCTGCCAGGCATCAATGACGCGGCCTTCGGTCCTGACGCGCTCGGCGACCGCCGGCGCGACGCTCGCGATCGCGTGCAAGCCGCGCGGGTTGACGCCAATGGGGTAGCTCTGCTCTGGGTCCGTCGGGATGCTGTCGCGACCTTCGTAGATGGTCACGCTGTGCCCACGCTGGGCGAGCTGGAGGGCGGCCGCGCAGCCGACCGGCCCGCCACCGATCACAGTGTACGCACTCATGCTTGGAAAGTGCAATCTGAACGAAACGGCGAAACACAGATCAACCAATCAGCGCGGAGGTCGCTTGGTGCTGACCAATCAGGTTGGCGCATGTGGCACTGCCACGCGCGGGGACTTCCGAGGCCTTCCCTCGCGCCATCCCATGACGTCGGATGACGTGACTCACTGTCAGTCCCGTCATACAAGAGCGAGGTCGATCCAAAGGTCTTCATCCCTTTCAAGATCCATACGTACCGGTACGACCATGCATTCTGACGTACTACCGTACTAGTGTAGTTGGCTTGCGATCAAGTTACCGGTATGCTTACATTGTGTGCGACGACAGCCCTCAGAACGAGACGCCAAGTAGTGTGGCAGTATCGCACAAAGCAGCTTCAAGCTCGACGTCGAGACACGATTCGAGCGTTGACGGGATGTACGTACACGTAGATTGTGGCGGCAGCGACCAGAGCGTGGACGCGCCGTCGAATCGGATGTGGCCGTAGCGCTAACCGTTCTGGACGCGCAAGGGCATGACGTCGCGGCGGTCATGATGCTAGACATATCGCTCGCAGCGTCGTCGCAGGTCTTGGGAGCTTGTAGGAGTGCATCTCGGAGGCGATCCCGTGGCCGATATGCGAGAGAGACTGTCGAAGAATTGGCCAGGGCTCCGCCCAAGGGCCAACTCGGTGGCTCCTCACGCAAAGATTGGCTGCGCCATACCTACAGCGACGTCGCGTGAGCGCCTCGACCCGAGGCCTGCGCACGGCTTGCCACGTACCACGTGCCTGGGCTGGCGGCGATGATCGGTGTCAAGAACTGCGGACTGGCGATTAGCTCGACATCTTTGCCGCTCTGATTGGCCACAAATCGAAGGTCTTGTCGCTCTGATTGGCCGTAAATTGAAAGGCTTGCTGCTCGGATTTGCTGAAACGCTTGGGCCTTGGCGTCGACGAAAATGAGGGAGACCAACGAGGAACGCTGCATTGCGACCGAGCGACACCTCATGATGGCGTAGAATGCCGATGGAGTCTCCTCAAGCACAACGCAGCAGCGTCAGTGGAGCCTCGGCGTCGTTTTTCTGGCCTCGCCGGTCATCATTATTGGCGTTCGCCATTTACAACCATAATTACCATATTTTGGTCAACTCAGACCCGCCGCGCCGGCGGATCGACCAGAATGAAGTTTAACAATGAAATCGCCCATACTTGCCAGAGTGCTAGACCACACTTTGGGGAGTCCAAAATGCTATGTGATATCGCCGTGCGAGCTCTGTAGCGAGAGCAAATGATAGCGGCAAACAATCTGATATAGTGTGCTTATTGCCATACTGAAATACTGTACGGGATACAAGGCCTCATCACGCAGCGGTATCACGCGCACTTTGCCTCCCTCGACCACGCGCAACACGCTCTTTCACATGAACCAAAAGAGACAGCGTCCTCGGCTTCCGCGATTTCGACGCATTTTCAACCGAAATTGCATGTTGAATTTCCTGAAAACCGACGCTCGGCAGTTCGAGTTTGGTGTGAGTGCCCAAGCAACGACGGCGACCAACAAGATGGTCGCACACCGGGTCGAGACCCATCGCCAACTGTGGCATCCAGTTTTACGGTCCTTGGAGCTTTGGAACCCCGCGATATCACGTGAAGTATTTAGGCAATTCTGCCACCACCTCGAAAAATGGAAAATGGATTTGCACGTGATTGCGCTACGTGCAGCGTCGGAAACGACATTTACGTCATTCAAAAAGTGTGTGGAGAAGTATACCCGGCTGCTACGTGGCGCTGGTGCGTCTGTGGGCTGCTACTCGTCGTTGTGCTGAATGGTGCTCACACTATTAATACAACGGTACTTGAGACGAGGTCGTGAACCAAGTCTTGTGATTGGCTAAAAAGAATCAAGAATGGAGCCAATTACAACCAGATCGACTTCCAAACCGAATCCACAGGCACAAACGACCACGAGTCCAAGGCGGCACACGTGTCGTACCTTGCGAATAAGCGCGTCAGAGCGCGACATGCGAGACTAGGCAGTGCTTGTAAATCTTACTGTACGCGCGACCGTGATGCAATCCAGAAGAAGACGAGTGATCTGCGTGGCAAGCATCACCGCCGCACACGCCAAGCATCGTAGTCGTTGGAACGACGACGGGAATCGACTAATTGTGTTTAAACGGGTCGTGGCGCAATGGCGACTTGCATAAAGTCCCGGGCACACACGACGTTTTCCGAGCCAAACGCAGTTGCCGCGAGCGCTTTGATGGTGTCCATGACAGCGATGCTGTCGTCGGCGCCGTCGCCTTTGTACCGACTCGAGAAATGGTTGAGCAAAAGTCGCTTGCACCGAATCGCGTTGGCGAAGGCGCCCGCCATCTCGGGCGTCGAGTGTCCGTGGCTTTTTGTTTGTGCTTCGACGTCGGTCGGCGACGCGCCGGCCGCGACATCGGACGGCAAGCACGCGTTCGTCGCTTCGTGGACGACCACGTCGACGTACGGATCGCGGGCTGTCAGCGGCACAAAGGCAGACGCGAGCGCATCCGAGGTGTCACCAAGAATGACAACGACGCGCCCGGGTCGAGTGGGACCGACACACGTTTCTGGCGACAGCACCGTGCCATCCGGCATCGTAAGCGTCTCGCCGTTCTTGAGCTTGGGCAGTAGCGCCAGCGGGTTCTTCAGCTGCAATGCCGCCTTGTTGCGCTGCAGAATCGGCGCCACAAGCTCGATATTGAGGCGTCCGGGCAACGCTGGCTCGCGGAGGAGGTACCCGACCGTGGGCACCGTGTGTGGAATTGGCGCTGCAAGAATCTCAAACGCCGTCGCCGAGCCTGTCTGCAGCGTCCAGTAGGCCGTCGCAATGTCGTCCTTGTTGGGTCCCAGAGTCGTTGACATCGCCACAAAGTCGTCCCCAAGGACTTCATCAATATGGCGATCGCCGTTTGCCGACGGTGTGTCATTGGCGAGCAGCAGCTCATGCAGCACAAACCTAATACAGGATCGAAACAGGAGTCAAAACGAACGCGTCGATAGTATGGTGTCGAACCCTGTGCCAATGCGCGACATGGTATGTAGTAGCATAGAGCGAACGTAGGCTTTGAGCCCGCGTGGACCGTAGATGTGAATCGGGTTGGTCTTTGGGAGTACATCCGACGAGACGACCGAGCCCGCCGTGCACAATAGCCCGGGCAAGCCAAAGCAGTGGTCGCCGTGCAGATGTGTCAAGAAGATGCGACTGATCCTGGCCAAGCGCGGCGCGTTCACAACCGCGCTGGCGTTGCCCGGAGCAGCCAGCGCCAGCGTTGCGTGGTCGGCCATGAGGTTGATCATCTGGTGCTGCGTGCCCTCGCCGCAGTCAAAGAGCCACACGTCCGAGCCGTCTGGGCGAAAGGCGAGTGACGAGTGGTTACGAGTCGGTGACGGCTGCGCCGACGCGGTACCGAGGAACGTTATGTCCATCTCGAATCGCAACAGTCGCCACGGATGGCGCCGGGTGATCGACCAGCCACCATCACTCGTGCATGGAAAACCAGAATGACGGTAATCGGCTCCTACATTGCTCTTGGTTCATGCCGCGTCTACTGGCACCCACGACTGGCACCGATTCAAGGCAATGCAATCGTGTACTCAACTAGATTGTCGCTTGCTGCGATCTCGGTCGTATCGTCCAGCGTCGAACAGCCAGTTCACTGTCCGAACGGCTATGTTCCGCACGTGACCGTCGTCGACGGCGACGACGACGATCATGTGCGTCCCCAGCGAGACCACCCATCACTATCTAAATTCGCTGCGTCGACAATAGCATCATGATGACCTTGATAGCATGCAGCGGTGTTGTGGGTGCAACGCCACGCAGACCGTGGTGGTTGGGTGGTTTTAGCCTCCTCGCCGGATACGAGGCATTTTCAAACATGCGCGACTACGACGGCTACTACGGCTCGGACGCGGTCGCCAAAGGGTACCTGCCCTACTGCAACATTGGTTTGCACGACAGTGACGCCAAGTTGATGCACGACGTGCCTCAAGCGCACAATGCGCACCTCTACCACGGCCTCCTCAAGCTGTCGCCGGTCGCGGACGCCATCTCGCACCACACGCACCGTCTGCACGTGCTGGACGTGGGCTGCGGCACGGGCGCCGGCCTCCACGTGATCCAAAAGACACTCGAGGCGTGGACGTCGTCGCCGATAACGACTGTTGGCGTCGACAAGTGCGCGTCGGCCGTCAAGGCGCACAAGAAGCTCTACGGCGGCAAACCCAAAGTGCTCCAGTACGACGTCGAGGGCCGCATGACTGCGTTTGCGCGCGCCAAGTTTGACCTCGTGACCGCCGTCCAGAGCCTCCAAGAGTGCACACCGTCTGCGCTCACCGAACTTTCGCGTGTTTTGAAGCCCCAGGGACTGCTTTTGGTCGCCGATTTCGTCAACCCGCGCCAGCCCTTTGACTGTCTCCACGCGCTCCAGTCGCACGCCGACTTTCGCTTGCTCGAGCACCGCGACGTGTCGTTTAGCGCGACGATCGCCGCCAAGAGTAGCTCGACCGGGTACGCCATGGTACTTTCTTTGTGGCCTCTCGCGACACATACTCTAGGCTGCGCGCGGTCTTGAACGAGTGCGTCAGTGACGCAGCCTTGCGCGCCGCGATGGCAGAGATGCTGACGCTCAAGAAGACGCCGCAATATGAGGACGTCCGGCTTGGCGCCCTGCAATATGGCCTTTTTTGTTTTGAATATGTCCCGTCGACGCCGGTGCCCGACGTGTTGCCGCCGGTCGACAACGCTTTGACCGACGACAGCAGTGACAACGACGACGACGACGATGACGACGACGACATTGATGACAAGTGCAACCCGAGCTACTATGACTACAGGTACGATCTCTCTCGCGTCGGCATGTACTGCAGTATCGTGGTGGCAGTGAGGTTTTTCCGCAGCTCGAGCTCCTTCGCAGCCACTATGAGACGATTCGCGACGAGGCGCTCAAGGCGCAATTGGCCCACGATTGGCCCAACTGGCCCGAAGACCACTACATTGGCGAGGACGGCGAGTGGCGCGTCTTCCCGCTTTGCTACACGTTTCCGGCGTGGGACGCCTCGAAAACAACGTGGGTCCACGGCACGTGTGCGCAGTGCCCTGCGACCGTTGCGCTCCTCCAAGCGATCCCGGGCATCCGCACCGCGCTCTTCTCCAAGCTCGGGCCCGAGACGACACTGGGCGCCCACCGCGTAAGCTCGTCGATGAGGTCGGTGTTGTACAAGCACTGCGTAGGGCTGGGCAGACCTCGCCAACGACATTTTGCGATGCCACATCGGGCTCGACGTTCCGACGTACGACGGCGACGACGCGACGTGCTGCATCGTCGTCGACGGCGAGCCGCGGGCCCAAGCCAACGGCCGCGTCCTCGTCTTTGACGACAGCAAGCTCCATTTCGCCTTCAACCGCCACCCGACCGCGGCCCGGTACGAGCGACGACGATGCACGTGTAGAGCCGACCGGATTCGCGTAGGTGCATTCTTATTGTCGACTTGTATCGGCCGGCGCATCTGCCACGTGGCATGGCCCGTGGCGGCCACACGGACGAACTCGATGCTTTCATTGCCCAGTACAACGCCGCCATGAACCCGTGATTGGACGCTGGCCTTGTTTCCTCGGCCAATTTGGCTACCGAATCTTGATGTTGAACACGCCTAGCACCACGTATTCATGCATTCTCCTCGTACACAGAGCGAGTGCGTGCGTACATCCGGGCACAGCGTTGAGGTCGGCGTTGACAATCGCGAGGAGGCCGAGGTTGGCGAGCGCGCCGCGGAGGACGCCGCAGGGAAAGACGAGGAAGACGAGCGCCTTCTGCTTGGACTCGGCGTCGGTCTCGGCTGAGAGCGCGTGGATCCAGCGAAAGTTAAAGTCTTGCAGCACAAACACACCCTATACGCCATCGTGAGCGCGACGAGAGATCGAGGAGGCGAACGCGGTGGTTGGTCTGGAGCTTGTCGATCTGCTTCTTGAAGATGTGGATCCAAAAGTCCTTGCAGATAAACTTGATAATATCGAGCGGCTCGAGGAGACGCGACCGGTCGCGCGAGAAGCGCTCCACGAAGCGGTAGCCCACGTCGTAGCCAAAGGCTTCGAGCTTCGCGGTCAAGTCGTCGTTGAGCGCCGAGGAGCCCGTCGCTGCCTCATGGCGCTCGATCTAGTCCATGACCATGAGATGCAGCTAGGCCAGCGTCGCGGGTACCATGGACCGGACGGCCTCGCCATAGAGATGGAGGAAGCTGCTCTCGGCCACTTCCTTCTGCATCGCCACTTCGTCGATCCTGTGCATCCGGATACACAAAACCGGTCGACTAAAGTACTAAACCCTGCGACGGAAAACGACTAGACCGAAGTTTGCATACCTGGTCTGTGCACTTCATCCACAGTGACACATGATATACACATGAAGACGCTACCCTCTACCCGCTGCCGAGCGCCCGTCACGCTGCTTGATGCACATGCGTCCAGGTCGCAGAGCGGTCCGCTCCGACGTGCGAAATCGGTTCAGCATTCTGTCTATACACTGTTTTTGGACAGTACAGTGTATTGACAATGGTGCTTCTCCCATTGTTTATCTCTGGTCCCCTAACACAACATTGCGTGCGTCCTCGCGACGACTTGCAAAAAGGTATACGCAACAATCCAGGGTACACCCTGCACCGATCGCGCGGCGATGCTGGTCAGGGTACCTGGTACGTCAGCTCTTGCGATCTTGTCGGCGCTGTCAAATTCTGTTTCCTCGCTGCCTCTGAAATTGAATACGCCCGCTGCATTTGCATTTTGTATGCCGTGGAATCTGGTCGAGCGATCGGACGGGGAAGATCCATGTCGTTGTTGCACCAGCTGGCCCCATCGATGCTCCCAATGCAAGATTCCGTTAGATTCTGTATGCGCCAGACTCGGTTCTGTGCGTGGTGAACGAGGCGCGGTAATGCTGGATCCCGCGGGAGGACACGGCGATAACGGAAATGCTCAGGGTGCTCTTGCCAACACTTCAAGTCTTCGGATGGCTGGTCAACGGTCCTGTCAACGAGATGGATAGATACCGTGTGTCTGATATGTATCGCAGCCGTGCAGACCATTTCCTTCTCGCAGCACGTCGTCTGTTGATCTGAGCGCTGCGCCTTCTACACGTGTTCCAAGGATCCCGGCGACCATTCAGAGTTCTTGTGCGCGCGTATAGGTATAGAAATTAAAGTATTAAATAAGGGTCTTGTGCTTATGGCGACGTGCGTAGGCGGCGGCTCGAGCTCTCGGGCAACTCGTCGTCTTCGGTGGGCATCGTTGGCGGCGCGTGCAAATCCCGATACAGCTCGCTCTTGCTCCAGTAGGCCTCCATTTGCTCGCGGTAGACGTCCATGGGCGACGGCGCCGCTGCTGGTGTTGTGCACGGGTTGGTCGAGTAGATGCCCGTGGACGAGAAGGCCGCCATGACCGAGTACATGACGCAGATGAGGGCCACCATGCTTGCACGACAAAAGAAAACGGAAGTGATCTCGAAACCGTGATCCGCTGTTTTTGGGTACCTCGCAAAACAAATATCCAGATTTTAGATTCAGCCAGCTGGTGGACGGACGTCCCACACTTCAAACTTGGCACTGAGCGCCGACGCATGCGTGATCTTTGCTCTTTGCTCTGCTATGCGTTGGCTTTGGTACTGCGGAGCTTCACGTTTGCCGCGAGCTCTAGAGAGTGGCCAACAAGACACTTTTCACAAGCGCGCTGCGCATAATATCAAGGCAGTGCGAGGTGTTAGCGGTGACGTGGGACACGAGGCACGAGGCCATCTGACTTTACACTCGTCATTGAAGCCGCTGACAAGATTCATACAGAGGACGATAGCACATGGATAAGAGCATTTCGAGATTTGGCAGCTTTCTCTAGTCGCCAGAAAGGGAATCTATACTCATGCCTCGCGATGCCACGCTGCCAACTTGACATCGAGCGAGATCCAAGTGGCAAATCGGTTGTGGTCGCGCTTGGCGACATGCATAGGAGCGGCGCCGGAACGAATCGAATGCGAAGTGTTCTGTGGTTATATATCCCGGCATACGAAAGCCTCATGAGCAGTCGACACTTGGTGTCGCATTGACGCGGAATCGACGGCGCAGAAGGATGCGACTACGTACAGCTGTCGCGATACGCATGACGTGGCATCTGGATCTCGACGGACTTCGCTGGATCGTCGCGAGGTTATTCCTGATCGTGCGATGGGCAACGAGACATCTCGCGACACGAGACTCTTCAAGCGCTTCCAATCCATCTATCCATCGCCCTCCGTTGCTCCACTGCCAGTCATTTGGTATCGCAGGATGGTCTGGAATGCGATAACGCTCGTCCAAGCGCTCGTTTACGACGAAGTACTCGACATCGACGTACCGAGCGGTACGGCGCCGGCGTCGGGTGTCAAGGCTGCAACACCACCAGCGTGGTACTCGACACGGGTGTTTGGTAGTATACCGGCGCTCAACTATAATACCGACGGTGTGTGCTACGTACTTCCATCGCGGTGCACTGTATTCAAAATGGAAACAAATATATATTGGGTCGGACCGATTACGCATCGCCTCTTTGCGCGTTGCCATCTCGACGCTCTGCTTTACTACGCATCACGGAACAACCCACCTATATACGTACCGGTAGTTATGATACCAGCGCCACGTTTGCACGAAGGCAAAAGCCCATCAACAAGACAAACACTGTATGAAACAGTGTTGTGGACTCTGGGTGTCATGAGCTCTTTCGATTGCCCAAGGCTATTGGATTATTCGAGAGGTGGTACCCAATGCAAGACTCGCCAGCCGGTGAGCCAACCTGCAACAATCGATAAGATCGTGCGCCAAGGCATGTCGAAAGGAGATGCTCACGGACGGCGTAGCTTCAAGTCCACGGGCGTCCAGCAACCGCATCAACGGCTCGTCGTGTCAGTGCAAAAGGACGCACGATATCTTCTCGGCTTCCAAAAAAGAAAAGGTTGCAGACGAAATCTCGTCACAGAGATTACACGATCAGGCGACCCACAGAGCTGCACTGCAGCACACGGCATTTCCATCCAGCGCGATGTACTATATAATGGAGAGGGCGACATCTCGTCGTTCAAGCGTCGGTGCAGCAGCTCTGTTGAGAGACGAGGTGTACGTACAACAGCGAGCACGGCGACATCAAGGTGGCGAAATATCTTCAAGCTGGGCTCTTCCGACATTCCGTCTCTGGTCAGTCGCGGTCTCTGATTACTGCAGACACTAGCCTTTTGCTCCTCTCTCAAATCGCTTCCTTCACGGCGCCGTCTATAAAAGGAGGTGTGTCCACCATAGCAATCCTCACGCAGCTGCTTTGGACGCCACGATGTGAGATGCGCCACTCATGACACTGCCCTCTCGTTCGACAGCGATGTAAAAGTACGGCTTCGCAGCAGACTCGTACTAGTAGTACTCGTGCATCGCATACAAAGTGCAAGCTCGCGTTGTGCTCGGCCTTTTTCCGATTTGAGCCGATTTTAAAATCTCGAAAAACCTAAATAGGATCGAGGTATCCGAAACAAATCGGCGCCGGGCCTCTTTGGATCTCGACCGGCCGCTTCGCAGCATGCGCAAGGTCCGCTTCCACGTGCTGAGCTGCTCGGGCGAAGACCCCGCGGGCCCCGCAGCGCTCCTCAACGAGCATGACAACACGGGTACCGGGTACCTCACGCCCAAGTACGACGCTATCTGCGCGTCCCATGGCATGACCTCGGCGTAGGAATTGCGAGTACCCGCAGGAGCTCGTAATCGAGCTCGAGGCGACGGCGCGCATCACGCAGATCCAAGTGCTCTCACACCAGTGCTACATTGCGACCAAGATCGAGCTCTACCTCTCGACGGACGGCGCGGCCTTCTCGCGGCTCGGCTTCTTGAGCCTCAAGTCCAACAAGGAAAGCCAGTACACGGCGCGCGAGCTCAAGACGGTCCATATCGACGCGTTCACACGCTACATCAAGCTCAAGCTGCATCAATGCTACATCAACGAGAAGAACTTGTACAGCCAGGTGGGCCTTGTCGCGATCAACGTCAACGGCGAGGTCCCGGAGGAAGCCGCGCACGAGGTCGAGCTCGACTCGCTCAGCCACGTCCACCAGCCGCTGCCGACAGCGCCGACGCCGACGCGATCGGTCTCCAAGGCCAAGAGCCAGCCGCCCAAGGAAGCCTCCTCGACGTCCGCGTCGATGGACGACATGCGCTTTGATGCCAAGACAGCGGCCAAGATCCGTGAGATTCACTTGGCAAAAGAAAAAGCTGTCGCCATGGAAGACTACGACCAGGTACTACCTACTATACGCCATATGTGCCATGTTGCTGCGTAGGCCAAGCGCTTGAAGGCGCTCGAGGAGCAGCTCAAGAGCGTCGGCCTCCAACTCGCGCGCCTCGAGGCCGCCAAGCGCGACGCCGTCGAGAACGAGGACTACGACGCCGCCAAGCGCATCAAAGATGAGATCGCGCAGCTCGAGAACGAGCTCAGCCTCGGCGTAAACGGTACATTCATCTATACTGTACCGGACTACCCACCGACGCATAGCCCCCGCGCGCCCCGTGGTCGACTCGAGTCGGGCGCCCATGTCAACGTCGTCGCGGGCGCCGGTCAAGCAAACCAGTCGCAACGAGCACGTCGAGAGTGGGTACCCGCCGGCTGTGCCGTCGCTGCCCAAGCCAGCGCCACGCAAAGCAGCTCCGGCTGTCGTACAAGAAGCACCGTCGCACGCCGCCGCCGACGACGACGCGGGCGGAGCGCAGCACGAGACACCGACACGTGGAGGTCCCAACCCGCATTTTGAAGGTAGCGTGCGTGCCTCCACGTCATCTTTATAAGCGCTACTAGGCCTCGACGATGTCGACGACCTCGGGGACCCCGAGCCGCTGCCGTCAGCGCTCGAGAAGGAGAGCGCCGAGATGATCGAGGTCATCGGGCTCTACCTCACGCAGTGCTTTTACAGCAACATATGGAATCACCGGGACGCGGCGCTGCGCAAGGTCCAGCTCGATCTGCCAGCGTACGAGCTGCCACCCGAGAGTGTTCTTCCCGTCCTTTCGACGCTCGTGCAAAGCGGGATTGGCGACCGCATTTCGCAAGTGTCGCTCTCTGCGCTCTCGCTCTGCGATGCGATGCTGCTGTACGCCCAAGACCACGCCGACGCGCTGGGGTCCGAAGCCATCGCGCACACGGTAGTCGTATGTGCGTCCACTGCTGTTGTAATACCTTCCAACTAGTTTACCAACCCGATCGTGCAGCTGGTCAACAAACTCGGCGAGCCGCAGGCCAAGATTCGCGACGAAGTCACGGCCGTGTTGCTCAAGGTCCACATTTCGCTGTTTGTGTGTTTGGCTCAAGAAGCATGCGTAGCTCGCCGCGGCCGACGACGTGGGCACGAGCGTCGTCGGTGGCCACGTCTGCCGACGCACGACCAAGAAGGCGCTCGCGATCAAGCATCTGCAAGGTCGACTGGGCCTTGTGAAAGACCTCCTTGCGCAGTACGGTCCGACGGCCGATGACTTTTCGCTTCCCGTACAACAACCCTTGGATCGTGCTTGTGTGACGGTATGGTAGGGAATCATGACCTTCCTGGAAGAGAATGGGGCGTTTGCACACCAGAGCAAGGACATTCGGGAGCTCGCCAAAGACATTACCGTGTTTTTACATCAAGTACAGTGTCGTGTCGTGCACATCGGTGCTCATGGGTTGTAGGTTGGCGGCGCCGAGGTCGAGCCCTTTCTCAAGACGCTGCGGCCAAAGCAGCTCGAGGAGTACGAGGCGGCGTTCGAAGCGGCGTCGGCCCCAAAGAAGAAGCCAGCACCTGCATCCAAAGCGCCAGCACCTGCATCGAAGGCACCAACACCCGCCTCACGATCGCGCGCGCCACCGTTGCAGGACGCTGGTAGTGACACGGACTCGAACGCGTCGGTGGACGACGGCACGTGTCCGTTCTGTGACGAACACAATGACGCGTTCGACAATGAGCGGCTCGACCAACATTTCTGGGCCGAGTGTCCGATGCTCACGCAGTGCAAAATGTGTGGCCAAGTGATCGAGATTAGCACGCTCAACGAGCACTTGCTCGTCGAGTGCGAGCTCAAGGTACACTTTCATTCTATAAAGTCCCGTGGTCGACGATGTGGTGCGGTAGCAAAACCACAAGGAGTGTCCTCGGTGCCACGAAGCCATTACCCTCAAGTACTTTAACCAACACGTCCAAGAGAACGATTGTGTGCCGATGCCGGACCCCAACGACGGCAACCGGTACGCAACGATTTGGGTTGTGGACATCAAGACACATTTGGAGCAGGTGCCCGCTGTGCCACGACGATATCGGGCCTCGCAAGCGCGGCTGGAAGACGCACTTGCTTCACGAGCGTTGCCCTCAAAACCCACGAACGACGACGTAGCAGCTTCCGATTATGCAAATGAAATGGTTGTCTCTGGCTCTATGTTCATACATATTGCAGCATAACCATGAGGCGTATTACCAGCGTGTATTACGGCCATCATCTCCGGAGACTGATGGTATCAGGCAACTACCACCGCCACTAACAGAGGCGCCAAGGGTGTCCGGACGCTGCAGCCTTGTACCCTGCGGTACTACACCTGCAATGAGAAGGGTACCATCGAATCCGTGTCGAGCTACAGCGAGTAGTGCTAGAGGTGGCGAAGAGGTTTACCATACCCGATGTAAATATATACAGATAGCTATTCCACTGCGTATTGCTGCACCTCAAAGGACTGTGGACCGTTCCCGAGACGATGATGCCTCGACACGTTGAGGCAAAACCCCCAATCCTGCTGGCTTGCAGCGGATGCAGAGAAGAAGGAGCGGTCTCGCCGAGAATGTTCGGCGTGAGGTATTCAGAGTACACCAATGCTATCGTGGTAGATGGCACTTGTCAACTTGCCTCCAAGTAGTTTCGAATGCGCATCAACGTCGTCTCCCTCTGTCTATTTCTGACGCACAACATTGCACTCTTGCCACGTTTGATCACAGCCACGGATCCGTCGGTAACACCAACGCCAAGTGCCACGACGGAGTGTCCCGAAACATTCACACCACTACCCGTACCAACGCCAAGCCCGACTG